TTCCATCATCCCCAGTACAGCTCTGTGATCTCTCTTCCATCATCCTCCAGTACAGCTCTGTGATCTCTCTTCCATCATCCCCAGCACAGCTCTGTGATCTCTCTTCCATCACCCTCCAGTACAGCTCTGTGATATCTCTTCCATCATCCCCCAGCACAGCTCTGTGATCTCTCCTCCATCATCCTCCAGTACAGCTCTGTGATCTCTCTTCCATCACCCTCCAGTACAGCTCTGTGATCTCTCCTCCATCACCCTCCAGTACAGCTCTGTGATCTCTCCTCCATCATCCTCCAGTACAGCTCTGTGATCTCTCTTCCATCATCCCCAGTACAGCTCTGTGATCTCTCTTCCATCATCCTCCAGTACAGCTCTGTGATCTCTCTTCCATCATCCCCAGTACAGCTCTGTGATCTCTCTTCCATCATCACTCCAGTACAGCTCTGTGATCTCTCCTCCATCACCCTCCAGTACAGCTCTGTGATCTCTCCTCCATCATCCTCCAGTACAGCTCTGTGATCTCTCCTCCATCATCCTCCAGTACAGCTCTGTGATCTCTCTTCCATCATCCTCCAGTACAGCGCTGTGATCTCTTTTCCATCATCCTCCAGTACAGCTCTGTGATCTCTTGTCCATCATCCTCCAGTACAGCTCTGTGATCTCTCGTCCATCACCTTCCAGTACAGCTCTGTGATCTCTCGTCCATCATCCTCCAGTACAGCTCTGTGATCTCTTGTCCATCATCCTCCAGTACAGCTCTGTGATCTCTTCCATCACCCTCCGGTACAGCTCTGTGATTTCTCTTCCATTATCCGCCGGTACAGCTCTGTGATCTCTCCTCCATCACCCTCCAGTACAGCTCTGTGATCTCTCCTCCATCACCCCAGTACAGCTCTGTGATCTCTCCTCCATCATCCTCCAGTACAACTCTGTGATCTCGATGTCCATCATCCTCCAGTACAGCTCTGTGATCTCTCGTCCATCATCCTCCAGTTCAGCTCTGTGATCTCTCCTCCATCATCCCCCAGCACAGCGCTGTGATCTCTTTTCCATCATCCTCCAGTTCAGCTCTGTGATCTCTCCTCCATCATCCTCCAGTACAGCTCTGTGATCTCGATGTCCATCATCCTCCAGTACAGCTCTGTGATCTCTCCTCCATCATCCTCCAGTACAACTCTGTGATCTCGATGTCCATCATCCTCCAGTACAGCTCTGTGATCTCTCGTCCATCATCCTCCAGTTCAGCTCTGTGATCTCTCGTCCATCATCCTCCAGTTCAGCTCTGTGATCTCTCCTCCATCATCCCCCGGCACAGCGCTGTGATCTCTTTTCCATCATCCTCCAGTTCAGCTCTGTGATCTCTCCTCCATCATCCTCCAGTACAGCTCTGTGATCTCTCCTCCATCATCCTCCAGTGCAGCTCTGTGATCTCTCCTCCATCATCCTCCAGTGCAGCTCTGTGATCTCTCCTCCAGTACAGCTCTGTGATCCCCCCCTCCACCCTGGTATATATATATATATATTATATATGAGATATCTCTCTCTCCACAATGCTGTAATTGAATTCTTTTTTCTGTCAGGGATGAAGCGTATAAAGAATTCCGATGGAGGTCCCTCAGGTAAAGACATCATTTCTCTCGTATTTGTTACTCTATGATCAGTCTGCGTCCAATCAGCCTTCACTAAACCGGCCGGATGGTGGCAGTACAGGGACGGGTGGACGTTTATGAACGGCCTCCCCGCACCCTGCTTGTGCGCGCTCCCTGGGAGCGCGCAGCACCGCAATCCGGTGCCCGCTGTGTCCTCCAGACACAGTGAAACACCGATCGTCGGACGGGACCTCTGTGTGAGGTCAGATCATCTGATCACCGATTGGCCAATCAGTGATCACATGCAAAGTAGTAAGCAAGATGTCACTTGTGACATCATTGCTTACTACGTGTGAAATCTGTGAATGGTCACCGAGGTCACATGGTACAGGGCTATTCACAACAGGCTTGTACCATGTGACAAGCTGTGACCAATCACAGCTCACTCAGTACTTCTCAATGGCTGCAGGAATGCAGACAGAGAGAAATGATTGCTTGTTCAGCCTTTATGGGTGTAAAAGCAATCAGTGTAAAAAAAAAAAAAAGAAAAATCTTCATCTCCCCCCACAAGTATTACAGTGTCACCATGGTGACCCCACACTGCTAGGGTGACAGGATGTAAAAAAATTAAAAAATAAATAATATAACAAAATAAAACAAAAATGTAAAAAAAATGTTTAAAAATTATAATTTTTGGTTATAAACTAATTTGGCTTATTTTTTTGTTTTACTAAAAAGATAACGGAATAAATTTTGGCCGAGATTTATGATGAAATATTTATTTGCAAAAATTTATAAGAAAAACACTTTTTTTCAAAATTTTGGGACTTTTTCATTTACATAGCAAAAAAAAAATAAAAAATCCCAGCGGTGAATAAATACCACCAAAATAAAGCTTTATCTGTCTCAAAAAAATGGTAAAAATTCATATGGGTACAGTGTTGCATGACCGCGCAATTGCAAGGTAGAAGTGTTTGCTACTGGGTCACCGTACTGCTCACTGTGACAACACTGCCATTCGTCGGCCACATACTGCACATTGTATACAATGTGAGATTACAGTACACAACGGGAATATTCCGGCCGATTTCCTGTCCATGTGTTGTATCCGAAGAACCTCACAGACAACGTTCTCACCGAATTCTGGTTTTCTATTATGTTCCTGCAGATATGGTCAGTTACCCATTACCACCAGATGATGAGCTCAAGTTCACTGAGAACTCAGGTAGAGACATTATTGATCTATTATTTTATGTTCAATATGTATCCAATCAGTCTTCAATAAACTCCTCTCAGATATCAGGACAAGGGGGTGGAGGCATCTCAGGGGCTTCTCAGTTTATAATGTGACCTTGGACTTTGGAGGAGACGACATCTTGTCTGTGGTATAAACTCTGCTCTAGGAGGACGGACACTAGGAAAACCAAAGGCACAGCTGGTAGTGGTGCCTATAACCCGGCACATGCTGAGTACGCCCAGTTTGACCCAATGTCCTCAGGAGGTGGGACACTAGGAAAGTGAAAGGCACAGCTGGTCCTAGTTTATTTGATTCCAGCGGCTGATGACAAGTCCAAAAGAGTATGTACAAAATTATTCAATAAAATAAGAACACCTATTGATCCCCTTTTGAATATCCTTTCCTTCTGCTCCTAACAAGCACATAGACACTCCGCACATCCAGCATACATAGCCGATTGACACCATACTGCCCAAAGTATTGGGCCACCAGCCTTCCCACACACATAAACTTTAATGGCCTCTCATTCTTAGTCCGTAGGGTTCAATATTGATTTGGCCCCGCTCTTCCACGCACATGACCTTTAATGGCCCCCCCAGTCTTAGTCCGTAGGGTTCAATATTGAGTTGGCCCCGCCCTTTCCACACACATGACATTTAATGGCCTCCCAGTCTTAGTCCGTAGGGTTCAATATTGAGTTGGCCTTACCCTTTCCAAGCACATGACCTTTAATGCCCCCCCAGTCTTAGTCCGTAGGGTTCAATATTGAGTTGGCCCCACCCTTTCCACACACATGACCTTTAATGGCCTCCCAGTCTTAGTCCATAGGGTTCAATATTGAGTTGGCCCCACCCTTTCCACACACATGACCTTTAATAGCCCCCAGTCTTAGTCCGTAGGGTTCAATATTGAGTTGGCCCAGCCCTTTCCAAGCACATGACCTTTAATGCCCCCCCAGTCTTAGTCCGTAGGGTTCAATATTGAGTTGGCCCCGCCCTTCCCACACACATGACCTTTAATGGCCCCCAGTCTTAGTCCGTAGGGTTCAAAATTGAGTTGGCCCCGCCCTTTCCACACACATGACCTTTAATGGCCTCCCAGTCTTAGTCCGTAGGGTTCAATATTGAGTTGGCCCCGCCCTTTGCAGCTATAACAGCTTCAACTCTTCTGGGAAGGCCGTCCACAAGGTTTAGGAGGGTGTCTATGGGAAGGTTGGACCATTCTTCCAGAAGCACATTTGTCGGGTCAGGCACTGATGTCGGGGGAGGAGGCCTGATGTCGGGGGAGGAGGCCTGGCTCGCAGTCTCCGCTCTAATTCATCCCAAAGGTGTTCTATGGGGTTGAGGTCAGGACTCTGTGCAGGACAGTCAAGTTCCTCCACCCCAAACTGGCTCCTCCATGTCTTTATGGACCTTGCTTTGTGCACTGGTAGGCAGTCATGTTGGAACAGGAAGGGGCCATCCCCAAACTCCTCCCACAAAGTTGGGAGCATGAAATTGTCCAAAATGTCGCCTTAAGAGTTCCCTTCACAGGAACTAGGGGGCCAAGCCCAACCCCTGAAAAACACCCCCACACCATAATTCTCCCTCCACCAAACCTTACACTTGGCACAATGCAGTCAGGCAAGTACCGTTCTCCTGGCTAAACAATATGGTAGTGTGACAAGAGCATCACCACCCAGAAAAAAGAGGTTACTTAGGAAATCCACGCGGAGTAATATGGGTTCAAAAATTAACACAAACAGTACTTTATACTAAATAAATAAGTAATTTATACTTTATACTAAATAAAGTACTGTTTGTTAATTTTTGAACCCATATTACTCCACGTGGATTTCCTAAGTAACCTCTTTTTTCTGGGTGGTGATGCTCTTGTCACACTACCATATTGTTTAGTATGCATTTCTCGGGTTTATGGATCCACACTTCTATGATAAGTGAGTCGGAGATATCATTATGACACAAGTTACTTGTGCCATTATAGGTGGCTTTTTTCTGTTTTATTTTTGCGACTGTTCTCCTGGCAACCACCCAAACCCAGACACATCCATCGGATTGCCCGACAGAGAAGTGTGATTGGTCACTCCAGAGAACGCATCTCCACTGCTCTAGAGTCCAGTGGCGGCGTGCTTTACACCACGGCATCCGACACTTTGCATTGCACTTGGTGATGGAAGGCTTGGATGCAGCTGCTCGGCCATGGAAACCCATTCCATGAAGCTCTCTACGCACTGTTGTTGGGCTCATCTGAAGGCCACACCAAGTTTGGAGGTCTTTAGCTATTGACTCTGCAGACAGTTGGTGACTTCTGCGCACTGTGCGCTTCAGCATGCTCTGACCCCACCCTGTCATGTGACGTGGCCTACCACTTGGTGGCTGAGTTGCTGGTGTTCCCAGTTGCTTCCACTTTGTTATAATCCCACTAACAGTTGAGCGTGGAATATTTAGTAGCCAGGAAATGTCACGGATGGACTTATTGCCCAGGTGGCCACCTATCACGGGACCACGCTTGGAGTCACTGAGCTCCTGAGAGCGACCCATTCTTTCACCAATGTTTGTAGAAGCCGTCTGCATGCCTAGGGGCTTGATTGTATACACCTGTGTCCATGGAGGGGATTGGAGCACCTGAATCACAGGATATGGAGGGGATTGGAACACCTGAATCACATGATTGGGAGGGGATTGGAACACCTGAATCACATGATTGGGAGGGGATTGGAACACCTGAATCACATGATATGGAGGGGATTGGAACACCTGAATCACATGATATGGAGGGGAATGGAACACCTGAATCACATGATATGGAGGGGATTGGAACACCCGAATCACATGATTGGGAGGGGATTGGAACACCCGAATCACATGATTTGGAGGGGATTGGAACACCCGAATCACATGATTTGGAGGGGATTGGAACACCTGAATCACATGATTTGGAGGGGATTGGAACACCTGAATCACATGATATGGAGGGGATTGGAACACCTGAATCACATGATATGGAGGGGATTGGAACACCTGAATCACATGATATGGAGGGGATTGGAACACCTGAATCACATGATATGGAGGGGATTGGAACACCTGAATCACATGATATGGAGGGGATTGGGACACCTAAATCACATGATTGGGAGGGGATTGGAACACCTGAATCACATGATTTGGAGGGCGGGGACAATACTTTTGGCAATATAGTGTTTATACACCTTTTTGTCTTCTATGTATTTCTGTTTGCTTCCTTCCTGGGTCTTTCCTTCATCATATTTTTCTTTTTGCAACCAAATCTTCCCTTTTTATACAGTTTTTTTCATTATTTACTTCTAAGCAAAGGAACTGATTGGTTAATCAAACCCTTGTAGCAGTACCCCCAAAGGAGCCGGCGGTATGTAAGGTCCCTTAAGTAGTTTCCCCAAGATTTCCCTGCAGCCAGGCACACAGGCACTCCGTTGGCTCAATGACCAGTCTAGGTGTAGGCTTTCCTGATGCTTTGTTGCAGAACTTGGATAGGTGTAGGCTTGGATTTCCTGATACTTTGTTGCAGAACTTGGATAGGTGTAGGCTTTCCTGATGCTTTGTTGCAGAACGTGACCTTGGATAGGTGTAGGCTTTCCTGATGCTTTGTTGCAGAACTTGACCTTGGATAGGTGTGGGGTAACTGTGGGATGTTCTAGTAACTTTAAGGAGCGATTAGAGGACACTAAAGTCCCTCAGAGTCCTTCCACAAAACTGAGCTGTACCAGGACTCCATGAACAATGTCCCCCTTTGAGTATTGCTGACTCTAGCACAAGAGGGGATTTCTCACACCAGTCTGTACTCAGTAATGTCCTCGGACAATTAAACATCTTCTTCCACTATCTTCCAGACACCTCCCCCAGCTGAAAGTCCCTCAGCTCCAGCAAGAAGAAGAATAGCCCCCCCACTAGCCGAACTGGGACCTCGTTCCACAGCAAGCATGTGGCAGGCCTGGCAGCAGTCCCCAAGGCTGTGATCTCCTCCTTCTAGAAGAAGACTCCTCTGCTCCAAGTTTCAGAGAATTTATACCCCCTCCCAGCCGCCATCTTGGCACACCGTCCCCAGGGATTGGCCAGGGCTGCATAAATGTTCAGCTGCTGATTTGAAATCTCCTTGCCCTCTATCTGGTAGAATTCATCCAGCCAAACAGGGGGAAGCAGTCAACCCTAAAGCCAGTGAAATACAGAACAGACCAAAGTAATTGCATGCAGATACACTGATCACAGTGAGCAAAGAACTACATTTACCTACCCTAGAACCTACCTGGGAGGGTGCTACAGTTACTTCCCTGACAGAAGGTGGTTTTTAGGATTGCCATATCTTTGACCTGAAGGATGTCATAGTTGGGGGCTCTAAAGCCGGCCTTACACAGCCCTGTCAGCACCACCCGGCTCATCGACTCAACAAAAGTCGAAATTCAATGGAAATCTGCTGAACAGTGACTGCATCCTATCAGAGGAGGTCACTGGTTGGTATTCAGGCAGCCATGGTTGCTGCAGCTGCCAGAATACAGTAGCCAGCAATGGAGATTCCTTCATCCATACTGTTTAGCATGAATGGGAAGTAGACTGGAGGTGGGCTGAACAAGAGAAATTGAACCATGTATGGCTAGCTTTCATCACCCCATCCCCCACAAGGACAAGGGGGTTCTTCTGAAGTTAGTATTGCTTTTCCATCTCTGAGAGATCAATGTGTTGCCTCCTCTTGTTCATTTCTCTCATCCCAGATTGCTTTTCACTCCCTGAATGTCACACAGTGGCCAGTATTCATCTGTCCTCCATGGCTTCCTTCTGTAAGGTGGACTTAGGTGTGGTCATTTCTGAGGGTTCCCACATTGTCTATTACACGATGGACTTCCCAGATGATATCCCGATCGAACTCAACCAACAGACAGTGTTCCATGGTCCATGTCACTGCTCATTCTTACAGGTCAGAAGGTACCTGGTGGGCACCAGACATCTGTCTACAGGTATGAAGAGCTGGTACCTGGTCCTCAAATCACACATTCACCATGTTCTATCACCGGTGGCTGTGGAAACCAGCAAGACATGACACCTAAAGGGTTGCCTCCTGGTATAATCCACTGTTTAAGGATGTTTTTGGGCATCTCAGATGTCTACTGTGTACCCAATGAAATTGGAAAAAAAAATAATTATTACTCAGTGTAAAGGGTAAAATCTTTTCCTCCTCCTGTAGTATCTTCTTTAACCCCTTCCTGCCTACAGGACACTTCTACCCCTTCCTGCCTACTGGGCACTGTCACCCCCTTCCTGCCTACAGGGCACTTCTACCCCCTTCCTGCCTACGGGCACCTCTACCCCCTTCCCGCCCTAGTGGCACTGTCTACCCCCTTCCCGCCCACAGGCACTTCTACCCCCTTCCTGCCTACCGGGCACACTTCTACCCCCTTCCTGCCTAGGGCACTTCTACCCCCTTCCTGCCTACCGGGCACTGTCACCCCCTTCCTGCCTACAGGGCACTTCTACCCCCTCCTGCCTACGGGCACTTCTACCCCCTTCCTGCCTACCGGGGTACTTCTACCCCCTTCCTGCCTACCGGGCACTTCCACCCCCTTCCTGCCTACCGGGCACTTCTACCCCCTTCCTGCCTACCGGGCACTGTCACCCCCTTCCTGCCTACAGGACACTTCTACCCCCTTCCTGCCCACCGGGCACTTCTACCCCCTTCCGGCCCACCGGACACTTCTACCCCCTTCCTGCCTACCGGGCACTTCTACCCCCTTCCTGCCTACAGGACACTTCTACCCCCTTCCTGCCTACCGGGCACTTCTACCCCCTTCCTGCCTACAGGACACTTCTACCCCCTTCCTGCCCACTGGGCACTTCTACCCCCTTCCTGCCTACCGGGCACTTCTACCCCCTTCCTGCCTACAGGGCACTTCTACCCCCTTCCTGCCTACAGGGCACTTCTACCCCCTTCCTGCCTACAGGACACTTCTACCCCCTTCCTGCCTACAGGGCACTTCTACCCCCTTCCTGCCTACCGGGCACTTCTACCCCCTTCCTGCCTACGGGCACTGTCACCCCCTTCCTGCCTACAGGGCACTTCTACCCCCTTCCTGCCTACCGGGCACTTCTACCCCCTTCCTGCCTACCGGGCACTGTCACCCCCTTCCTGCCTACAGGGCACTTCTACCCCCCTCCTGCCTACAGGGCACTTCTACCCCCTTCCTGCCTATTGGGCACTTCTACCCCCTTCCTGCCTACGGGCACTTCTACCCCCTTCCTGCCTACCGGGCACTTCTACCCCCTTCCTGCCTACCGGCACTGTCACCCCCTTCCTGCCTACAGGACACTTCTACCCCCTTCCTGCCTACCGGGCACTTCTACCCCCTTCCGGCCTACCGGACACTTCTACCCCCTTCCTGCCTACCGGGCACTTCTACCCCCTTCCTGCCTACAGGACACTTCTACCCCTTCCTGCCTACCGGGCACTTCTACCCCCTTCCTGCCTACAGGACACTTCTACCCCCTTCCTGCCCACTGGGCACTTCTACCCCCTTCCTGCCTACCGGCACTTCTACCCCCTTCCTGCCTACAGGGCACTTCTACCCCCTTCCTGCCTACAGGGCACTTCTACCCCCTCCCTGCCTACCGGGCACTTCTACCCCCTTCCTGCCCACCGGGCACTTCTACCCCCTTCCTGCCTACCGGCACTTCTACCCCCTTCCTGCCTACAGGGCACTTCTACCCCCTTCCTGCCTACAGGGCACTTCTACCCCCTTCCCTGCCTACCGGGCACTTCTACCCCCTTCCTGCCTACCGGGCACTGTCACCCCCTTCCTGCCTACAGGACACTTCTACCCCCTTCCTGCCACCGGGCACTTCTACCCCCCTTCCTGCCACCGGACACTTCTACCCCCTTCCTGCCTACCGGGCACTTCTACCCCCTTCCTGCCTACAGGACACTTCTACCCCCTTCCTGCCTACCGGGCACTTCTACCCCCTTCCTGCCTACAGGACACTTCTACCCCCTTCCTGCCCACTGGGCACTTCTACCCCCTTCCTGCCTACCGGCACTTCTACCCCCTTCCTGCCTACAGGGCACTTCTACCCCCTTCTGCTACTACAGGGCACTTCTACCCCTTCCTGCCTACAGGGCACTTCTACCCCCTTCCTGCCTACAGGGCACTTCTACCCCCTTCCTGCCTACCGGGCACTTCTACCCCCTTCCTGCCTACCGGGCACTGTCACCCCCTTCCTGCCTACAGGGCACTTCTACCCCCTTCCTGCCTACCGGGCACTTCTACCCCTTCCTGCCTACCGGGCACTGTCACCCCCTTCCTGCCTACAGGGCACTTTATACCCCCCTCCTGCCTACAGGGCATTTTTTTTCCCCCCTTCCTGCCTATTGGGCACTTCTACCCCTTCCTGCCTACCGGGCACTTCCACCCCCTTCCTGCCTACCGGGCACTTCTACCCCCTTCCTGCCTACCGGGCACTGTCACCCCCTTCCTGCCTACAGGACACTTCTACCCCCTTCACTGCCCACCGGGCACTTCTACCCCCTTCCGGCCACCGGACACTTCTACCCCCTTCCTGCCTACCGGGCACTTCTACCCCCTTCCTGCCTACCGGGCACTTCTACCCCCTTCCTGCCTACAGGACACTTCTACCCCCTTCCTGCCTACAGGGCACTTCTACCCCCTTCCTGCCTACAGGGCACTCTCTACCCCCTTCCTGCCTACAGGGCACTTCTGAGGCCCTTCCTGCCTACAGGGCACTTCTACCCCCTTCACTGATGACAGCAGGACACTTCTACCCCCTTCCTGCCTACCGGTCACTCTACCCCTCCTGCCCACTGGGCACTTCCCCCCTTTTTTCTTAGTTTTCTGTTATAAAATTGTATAAATAAGCAATTTTTTTTTACATGTGATCAGCTGTGATTGGACACAGCTGATCACATGACTGTGCCGACGTCATCAGCTCTTTCTGCTGATCAGTGATCCGCTGTGTCCCAGGGACACAGCGCACCACCAATTGCCGCAGAGTGGGAGGATGTCATATGACGTCCTCCTAGAACGAGAGGACCGCTGCCCGCATCCTCATTCCCTTATATGGTGTGCCGGAGGCTGTTAAATATTTGACCTTCCTGGGCTTGCTTACAGAATCTACAACCACTAGAATCAGCTGTGCCTTAAGGTTTGCCTGGTGTCCAACCTTCTGGAGT